GCCGCCGCCCCGCCGCACCGCCCGACCCTGCCCCGCCGCCGGCCCGCCCTTCATCGTGGTGAGTTTTTTCTTCTGTTTTTTAGATTTAGTTTATATTTGTTTAGTTTAGGTTAGTTTAGTTTATTTAGTTTAGTTTAGGTTAGTTTAGGTTAATTTAGTTTATTTTAGGTTACATTTAGTTTATAGTTTTGTTTAGGTTTTTTTCCTGTTTTTAAGAATAATCAAGAAAGATGAAAAAAAAGAAAAAAAAGAAGAGGAAGAAGAAGAAGAAAAAAGAACAATAAGTAGTAGTAGAAGAAGAGGATGAAAAAAAGAAGTAGAAGTTGAAGATGAAAAAAAGAAGTAGGAAAAGAGAGCGCCCAGGGACGAGCGAGTTAGTGGGTTCCTCGGTGTCGATGGAACCCTAAATAGCAAGTATCATCGGTGCGAGGTACATGTGGCCGTCGGTGTCGAATACTACATCCACGTCCCACAAGTGACGCCAATGTCCGGCGTCCCAAAGCAAATATTCTCGGCGTTGATGGCGGTCGAACACCATTGCGAATTTGTCTGGCAGCCTCTACGATAATGATTAAAAGGCAAGTGTTGAAATTTGAAACACCCAAACTGACTCAAGTCGGTTTGGTTGTTCAAAATTTCAAAACTTGGGTTTAATCCTCATTGCAGAGGCTGCCAGACAAATTCGCCAAGGTGTTCCACCGTCATCAGCCACCAGAACTATTGTTGCGGGACGCCGGGCGCCGTCTTCACTTGTGGGATGTGGATCTAGTGTTCAACGCCGACCGCCTCATGTAACTTGCATCGATGGTAGTTGCTATTTAGTTTACCCGGGGACGAGCGGGTTAGGGGGTCGCTATGTTACTCATTTTTGGATTTAAATGTGCAGTTATTTCATCGCTGCGAGGGTCTAGTGTTCGACGAGCTCCGCCCCTGCGTTCGTTGGTGAGCACAAATGACATCTCCCGATGAAACTTGCTAGCTATAGGTGTCAATCATCAGTATGCGTAACCATTATGCGTCTCCCGTTTGAAAGGGTTACATCTATAAATATGCATGCATTTGCATATTTATAATCGTGATTCTTTCGAGTT